TAGCCCCAAATTCGCATTTGTGAGCCTTGACATTGCAAATGTGAGGCTTGCAATTGCGATCATTTCTTCGCAAATGCGAGACCTGCAACTTGAACACACAAGCTGATGTGTATCAGCAGTTCCAAGCTCAAACATAACACATCTGAAACTCACTCGAGCCTCTCGAACTCCAATCCAAGCATTCACATAAGTGTAATAATATCATATAAACTCGCCCGCTTACTCAAATCATCAAAACAACATCAAATATCAGAATCAATCATCAAAACTCAAAATTTCAAGTTTTAAACCAAAATTTTCCAATCTTTCACATAATGTGTCGAAACGCCCTCGAGTCACTCGGGACCCCAACCGAACATGCGTACAAGTCCAAAAATATCATATGAACCTATCGAAATCGTCAAAACACCGATCTGAGGTTGTTTGCCAAAAATGTTTACTATGGTCAACTGTAGCCTCATTTTAAGTTAAAAAATCATGTTGTCTTCAAAATTTCACATAAAAGTTTTCCAAAAAAAGACATAGACCACACACGAAGGTCATATAACATCAAATGAAGCTTTGAGAGGTCTAATGATACAAAAATTAAGGCTAGTACTCAAAACGATCTATTGGGTCGTCACACCCCTGCACAGGATCACGATGCACAACACACTATTGGGTTCCCATTAGTGATCTCTACATGACCGTGATTCACCATTCAGCTCCACTCTACGATTGCGACACCTTTTCCGCGATTGCATAGCACAAAAACATATTGCCTCCATATCCTTCTATGCGATCGTGCGACTACCTTCAGCGACCGTGATTCAATTCTATGCACCAAAAAATAAAAAATCACAAAATGGCTCAAAATGATCCGAAATCACCTTGAACTACACCTGATCCCCTCTGTACCCCCCGTCCAAACATACTAACTACTATATATATATAATAACCCGGCTGATTGTTTTGAGTATTTGAGCCTCGTTCCTCTATTTTATGTTTACCGTATGTGTGTTTGTTATTTTGTGACTTGCGGAGATGGCTGGTTTGGTTCCGGAAATATTTTGGAGTGAATTCGAACACTTAGTTCCTTTGTTGGAAACTTAAGCATAAGAGTTGACCAAGGTTTGACTTTTGTGTAAACAACCTCGGATTGATGTTTAATAGTTCCAATAGGTTCGTATGATGATTTTTGAATTAGGCATATATTTGGAATTAAATTTGGAGGTTCTTAGGGTGTTTTGGCTATATTTGCCGAAAGTTAGCAATTTGTAGAATTGGAGAGTTCATAGATTTGACAGGGGATTGAATTTGATGATATCAAAGTTGGATTGTTGTTTCGAAACTTAGTATAGGTTTGTTATATCTTTTGAAACTTGTTTGCAAAGTTTGGTTGGAATCCGGATTGGTTAGGCTTAAATCGGACTCTAGGTTGCAAGTTGGAAGTTCTTGATTTTAAGAGAGTGATTTTAATCGTCAATCTTGGTTTTGATGCTACTCATGGTGGTTCGCGTCCTTGTAAAAGTTTGAATAAGGTACTAAGATTTGTTGGCATAATTGGGTGGGGTCCTAGGGGCTCGGATGTGATTCAGGGTGGTTTTAGACTATTTCCCCTTATTTTGGATTGTTGGTTTATGGTGTAGGTGGATTCTGTGGGATCGCAGAGAGAGGCTATCGATCACAGAGTAGAGGAGTTGGCATATAAAGATTACCTTTCGTGTTTGCGGGAGTGGCAATGCGTTCACATAAGGCTGAGGTCTGTTGCTTCGCGTTCACGGAAGCTTGTAGTTAGGCAGGAGGATTACCTTCGTGTTCGTGGGTAAGGGACCGCGTTTGCGCAGGTTTAGCTGGGCAGGGATTGCATTAGCAAGAATATCTTCACGTTCGCGAAGTGGAGTTTATAGTTGGGCAGATATTTAGCCTTCGTGATCGCAGAAGTTGTGTCGCGATTGAGTGAACATCATTGGGTAGAATATTTAAGTTGAGATTTCGGGACTTTTACCCATTTTATCATATTTTGAGCCCTAGACTTCGAGAATGAGAGATTTTGAAAGCAAATTCACTACATCATTGGAAGAAAGTAGTTTACACTTGGATTTGACTTTTAATCATATTTTCCATGGATTTCTACACCTAAAAGCTTGGATTGTAAAGAGATATTTTTTACTATAATTTTGGAAAGTGAATAATTGAGATTTGGATCCTGATTTGGAGTCGATTTTGAATGAAACTTGTATATTTAAACTCGTATTGGAATGAATAATCGGGTTTTGTGAGTTTTGTCGGATTCCGAGAAGCGGGTCCAGATTGAATTTTTGCTTGACTTTATGTATTTGATTAAAGATTCGAACTTTACTATTTGGAATTGATTCATATGGCTTTATTTGACGTTATTGGGTTGTATTCTAGATTCAAGCCATTTGGAGTTGATTTTTTGAGGATTTGGCATCTTTGGTGATTTTTAGCTCACGGGGCAGATATTAGTCTCTTGGCTAATCTTGTTAAGAGGAAACATTGACATTTCCGCCTACAGAAGCTATAACTTAAGATAGCCGACAAATATGTATAATACATGTAAAATATGTGTATAATTACATATAATTATTGTACAATTTATATATATTGACTAAAAAAATAAACAGTTAATTTGACCTGCTATCTATACCAAGATCCCTAATGGAATTTTTACATTCTTATTCCATATAGGAAACTATATTACCCTCAATGTTTAAGGTTTGATTTAATTACATTTAGTATACCTAATTACCAATTCTATACCATAATGTGTTTTAATTGTACAATTAATGTACCGTATATCACTCTTAATTAACGCTACCGTATATTCCTCCAAATCCCCCCCACGTTTCTCTCTCCCAAACCCACACCCACACCCATGTATCTCCCCATACCCACGTTTCAAACCCATTATTCCCTCTGCTAAAACCAGAGACATATGTAACACCCTTCCATTAATGTCCAAATTCAAGCGTTTTTCTTCTAAAACCAGTTAAAATTGAAGTCAAATCTTAAAAGTTCATACACACATTTACCTTCAGCTTCAAATTTTCTCAATGAAGAAGAATAAACCTTCAAAGAGACAAGAGAGCAGCAATTCCACCATTGACAGCCATTAAAAAGCTTTGAAGCTTTGAATTCAAATTTGGGTTTTCAAAAATCATTATTTGTTTTGATTGGGTGTTGTTGTAAATAATTGGGAATATATTTTGGAGTTTATATCTCAATTTTGAGGGGGTTTTGGTGAAGATTTAGACTTGGTTTTGGCTGAATTTCAGATTGAAACTCGAAGAAGAAGAAGAAGAAGAAGAAGAAGAAGAAGAAGAAGAAGAAGAAGAAGAAGAAGAAGAAGAAGAAGACATGCCATACATTATATTGCAGTAATTGTAGAAAAAATGTAGATAAATTGTAGACTGTTTTCTGCAGAAGATTTATAGAAGTTTTAGTCGTTTTTTATTTGTGTAAACAGAAAACAAAACATCTACAATCAGAATACAAATAATCCATAATTTATCTACAAAATGGGTACATTGAATTTTAATATCTTAATTCCCATTCAATTGTAGCTTAATTGGTATTTTCGACATAATTACATTTTTTGCAGAAGATTTGTAGAAGTTTTGGTCATTTTTGATTTGTGAAAACAGAAAATAAAGCATCTACAATCAGAATACAAATAATCTACAATTTATCTATAAAATATCTACAAACTGGGTATATTGAATTTTAATATCCCAACTCCTATCGATTGCAGCTTAATTGGTATTTTCGACATAATTGCATTTTTTGCAGAAGATTTTGTAGAAGTTTTAGTCATTTTGGATTTGTGAAAACAGAAAATAATGCATCTATAATCAGAATACAAATAATCTACAATTCATCTACAAAATCTACAAACTGGGTATATTGAATTTTAATATCCCAATTCCTATTCGATTGTAGTTAATTGGGATTTTCGACATAATTACGTTTTTTCTAGAAGATTTGTAGAAGTTTTAGCCGTTTTTATTTGTGAAAACAGAAAATAAAGCATCTACAATCAGAATACAAATAATTTACAATTTATCTACAAAATATCTACAAACTGAGTACATATTTGGAATCGACATGCTTCCCCTGAAATGTATGTGTCACATTTTTATACATATTTTTGTCCAAAACAGTACTAAATCATTCACTTTAATACAATTTTTATACAATGTTGTTCAACTTTCATACAAATAGGTAAATGAATAAAAGATAAATAAATAAACAACAGTCTACAATTTATCTACAATTTCTGCAATATGTCTTCTTCTTCTTCGAGTTTCAATCTGAAATTCAGTCAAAACCAAATCTAATCTTCACCAAAACCCCTCAAAATTGAGATATAAACTCCAAACCATATTCCCGATTATTTTCAACAACACTCAATCCAAATAAATAATGATTTTTGAAAACCCAAATTTGAATTCAAAGCTTTCAAGCTTTTTAATGCTTTGTATTACTGAAGTTTGCGATTGAGAAATAGAGAGAGATGTAGAGAGAATTTCTGGAAATAGAGTGTATCGCAAAAACAAAGGGAAAATCTTGTTCTGCATTGTGGAAGATCAGAGTGAAGCCGACGATAATTATGGAATGTGCGTGATTTGCGTTGGGGAAGATCTGAAAAATATTTAATTCCCCTTTTTTAGCGCGCAAAATAAGAAATCATAAAGTTACAATGATTCCTTATTTAATGCATTGTATATATTAAGTAAAAATACTATTAGCATAAATGATAATAAACAAATTATGAACATATTTGATAATATAGTTCCTATGGTATATATCCGAAAAAGCCTCATCCTAATTTCAACTATCAACCCTATGTTTTTCTATTGGCAAGCTGAGCCAGGTGGGCCCCTGGCCCAAAAACATGTGGCCGACACCGATGTAGAATTTTGGGCAAAGAGCAAACGCGTTTTGGGTTTCTCTATCGGTTCTCTATAAATGTCCCATCTATCAGATATTTTCAACTCCTTTTTATCTCCTCACGCTTCTCATTTTTTTGGAAGCGTATTTCTCTCTCTGTCTTGTAACCCTAGAGAAAAAGGGAGAAATCCTTGGAGGTGGAAGTAATTTGTGTCCACTTATTTTTTCTTATTTATTTTAAGGTCTTCAATTTTTGCTGTCAGATCGACATCGTCAGGTATAATTCTCTATCAATTTCTGATTTGTTTAATGTAATACTTCAGATCTGGATTAACTATATGTTTTTTTTTCATTCAATCGCTGTTATGTGTTATCAAATGATAATCTAGGGTTTCAGATCAGCTTTTCTTTCTTTGTGGTTGATTATTTGTCCTCAAATTTATGCCTTTTGAGCTGTCATTTAGGGTTAATGGTTACTGCTCCAGGTGACTGCAGAGCTTTGAATTAGTTTTCCTGCGCGTGATTCTAGACCTGCATATGTGTTTTTCTCCTTCTGACTGGAAAAGGCTAGCTTGGACCAGCTTAGTTTTATTACTTATACCATGTTTTTTGTTTGTTTTTTAGATGACATGTACACGCAAACAGTGATTGTTGTAGGATTGAGAGATAGTTATTGAATGGTAGTTCATGATTGTTGTAGTTCAGGAGGTTACTGGAGCGGTTTTCCTACTAGCATAAGAGAAAAGGAAAAAGAAAAAGAAAAAGAAAAAAAGAAGTGATATAGGATGTGTTTGGTGCACCCATGGGTGGCCCAGTGGTCATTGAAGTGGGGTGGAGAACCTGCTTAGCGTTAGAACCCCGTACTTCTGCTGATGGGTGGTAGCAAGTACCCGGTAGAATAGTTGAGGTGTACTCAAGCTGGCTGAGACACCGTTGTGATAAAAAGAGGGATGTGTTTGGTGTGGAAGAATTTTCAATTTCCATGTTTGGTTGGTCAAAATATTCTGGTAACACAATTTCTCTAGGAGCACAAGTTCCTTAAAAATTGAAAAAATGACCACTTCCCTAGTGGGAGTAGGGAAAACAAGTTCTATAAGTGGCTTTACACGTGAGTGTCTCCCCCACCCCCAAACACCAAAAAATAAGTAAGAAAATTATTTATTCTCCAAGATAACATTTTGTTACCTTTTTCAAAAAAAAAAAGAAGATAACGTTTTCCTTCATATCAAACACATCCATAAGCCTTATAAGTTTAGGAAGAAACTATTTTGGCTTTTGGTGCATCTTGCTATGATATATAGCTGTCCTTCTGTCCAAGAGTATTTTGTTTAAATTTATACCACGTAGCTGTGATCTGTGTCTACAAATTGAAGTGATTGAGTCATCTACTGTTGGATACTATTTTTTTGAACTAGGCATCTCTTTAATTGACATTTTGTTTGGCTGTAGCATGCTTGCTTTGCCTTGACTTAGATAACTACTACTACTACTACTACCACCTTTTTCTAAGTTGTGGTTGGTCATTGGTGATACAAAATAAAAGGAAGAAGCTTTTTTGTAGTCCTTTTTTTTCAGCATAGTTGCTCATTTCTCTCCAAATTTACTTTTCATAATTTTGCACGCTGATGTTATATGAGTCCAGTGGTCATTGGAGACTGAAGTTTGAGATGGCCGTTGTAACTGCATCTTCCGCTGGTCCAAGTTATGCGCCAGAAGACCCTACCCTCCCCAAACCATGGAAAGGCCTAGTTGATGGTACCACTGGATTCATCTACTTCTGGAATCCAGAGACCAACGATACCCAATATGAGAGGCCTGTTCCCTCTTCCCATGCAGTGTCTGCTCCAGCACATAAGTCATCTGTATTTGTAAGTTCATCTGTTGAAAAGCCTTCTCAAGGTCAACGCTATGATGCAGACGGTGGACACAACAGAGGTAGCAATAACAAGGTATCATGTGAAGGGAGATCAGTTGTCTAGTTTTAATGTATCTCTGTCAGTTTAGTTCCTTCTTTCTCCATCTCTTTCTCTCTCTCCCCCCATATCCCTTTTTCTAAAAGAACAGTTTTTTTTCCTGTATTCAGTTTGGACACAGATACAACAAAGCGAATATGTTTAACTATTTGTTGGTTAAGATTTTTTTTGGGATTTCATATTATCGTGTTCTTAAATCCATTTGACATCATTGTCATTGATTAAAGAGAGATTGTCAATGGATAGGTCATTTCTATTTTTGGGATCCTTTAAAATCTATCATTTATGTTGTCATCAAAAGAACTAAGTATCAAGTATTAATAATGAATTTTGGGGTTGAATTATCTTATTATTATACATATGCTTTTGAGCCTGTATATTTTACAAGGGATTCTAATTTGTGAAAAAGAGAAGGTGGTCTACGGTAACTCAAAAAGAGGTTGAAATATCTTTTAGTTTGCACTTTCCTTGTATCTTTGTGGAGACCAGTTTTCTCTTTTTTTTTTTTTTTTTTTTTTTTTTTTGTAGTTTTAGCTGAGAAATGAGCAAAAAAGTATTAGCATGTGGTTAAAATTAGGTTCAGTTCTTAGTTGAAAGGAAAAGAAAGATCTGTCCCCTTACTTACGCTGATAGGCAATGGGTAATGCAGAATTTCCTAGAGGTTATGAAGGTTTTTATTTAAAAAAAGAATCTGTTCTTAAGTAGTAATTATGGGTAATGGTCAACACTAAATTGCTATAGTAACTTGAACTTTAGTAGTCTAATGTTATTTGAGTTTACCCGTCAGGTTCCCCCCTCCCTGGATTTGTTTCTTTATATTTATCTCTCTGTGTGCAAGTTTCTTTTTCTTATCTTTTTTTTATTTGGTAGATTGCAAGAAGCAGTTCTGATCGTTTTCATGATGGAACATCTGTCCATGAAGGCTATGGTTCTCTAGGTGTAGGAAGTGACATATCTCAAGAATCCTACTGCCGCCGCAATGAAATCTCTGTTACGGTAAGAAACTGTGTCTTCTTGATTTATCTGAAGAGCCATTTCATTTCATTTCACTTTTGGAATTTCACTTTAAAACTCAAATGGGTGTTAACTTGATCTCTCGGAGGATGATTAGTGTTTCCTATGATTTCAATAATTGTGAAATGAGCCATCTCGTTTTTTGCATATTAGCATGTGTCTATTGGACTACCGGGGTTGCAAAATATATTTGGTGGTTTCCTGGAAAGGTAGGATATAATTTAGGCTTTGCACATTTAACAATATGAAGGAAGTCGTGAAGATTTCAAATGTAATCTATTTAACATATAGTAATTGCATTTGATTTTCCTATGCCTTTTGTTTCTTATCATGTTTACGAAAGGCATAGGAATACCCCTCCATTATAAACATCAGATGCAAGTCTTCGACATCATGTAAAGATTTTTAAGAATTTTATACCCTAGCTAAGTCAACACTAAATCATAAAGCACAAAAAAAAACACAAGATTGAATGTGAAGATTTCAGTGAACATTACATCATAGGAAAGGATCATAGATTAGAGTTTATTTTCCACTTGTTGAACTTCATTATCATCATCATTAGTATCTAGCTCAACTACTTTTTGGTAGATAGCTGACAATTCATAGAATATGAATAGCAAAAGGCTCATAATGAAAACAGGTGAATGAATTGTTTCAAATTATTGTTCTTTTCATTACATTTTCAAAAAAAAAGCAGGTGAATGAACTGGAGAAAGATTAGTAATGTGAAAGCAAATAAGGGAGCTAGCAGTATCGTTGTAGAGAATAGCATCCAGATTTCTAATTGAGAATAGCAGTGTCGTCCATATTGCAATATGAAAGAAAAACTTGACAATTTTGCTCGATCAACCAGAAACTTTGGTAAAACAGATGCCCTGCCTATAAGTGCGCGCCCTTTCCCATACTATGCTCTGCTCCACATCCAACACTATAAAATCTTTTTGTTTCAAAAGGTTTTCTTATCCTATTGCATCTGTGAGCTGCCACTATCTTTTGGTGAGAGTTGTATGGGTTTGGACAAAGTAAAAGGTTGTCTTATCGCATTCTAGAGGGCAATTCTCCTCCATTATCATTAGGATGTTGCAGGGTTTGTATGACATGTTTCTGTATATTGAGCTATCTTCACTTGGCTACAGTTGCACCAAGTCTGAATTATTTCATCTTTTTACTACTACAGCTTGGATGATTGAAGGTCTATAGTTTCTTGATTTGGTTTCATTAACTCAGAACACAAGTAAAGCACAAGAAATGCAACTTCGACTACCTTTTATTTTAGGGCCATCATCTTGAAGATGAAATTGTTTAGTCTCTTCTGTCTGGTACTATGTCTTGTGATTTTCCAGTTGTTTATTTGTCTTCTACCTGCTGTAGCATAAATCAGAACTCTAAGTGACTGTGTTCTCTATGTTCAGTTGAAAGTTGTATTAGTCTAGCTTTTCAAAAGAGCTTCATCTTCATCTTTCATGTTAATTGTTCTTCCCTCCCCACCCCCAACCTTGTATAAAAAATTGTCAGTCATACTCATGTTTGCGTCATACTTTCTGTTCCATTTGACAGGGAGGTGATGTTCCTGCACCTTTGACATCATTTGAAGCGACTGGGTTTCCTTCAGAGATTGTGAGGGAGGTATGAATAAACCCATTTCAATTTGTGTTTTAAACGCTCCTTCAGGAGAACCTCTTATCAAAGAATTTACAGTATAATCAAGCGTGTTCTTTCTAAATTTCAATGGTTGCTGGAGGTCCATCTTTGAGCTTCAGTACTCATCCATTTTCCCGTCTGTACTTTCACGCAGGTGCGATATTTGCTCCAAGGAGGAGCTAAATGTCGTACGCTGTTCAACCATCCTTTGGGGGCTTCCATGTATGTGGAGCACCCTTTTTTGGTGGACCAAATCGTCTGAAGGCTTTCCGAATCATCCATGTTCGTGGCTGGGGCTGCTGTCGGTGATGATTCAGTCTGCCACATGGTCCAAACTGAAGAAGAGGCGTCCTCCTGCTCTTGTTTGTATTAGCAAGTGTTGGCTGCCTACTTAAGGGGGATGATGCTTCTTCTTGTGTTGGCCATTCAGATTAGTCAAATAAGTGATCTATGAAAAACAATGCTGAGTTCGTATATATGCTGAATGATGTTGCCAACATTTACAGATGCATCAAGCTGGGTTTTCGGCTCCTACTCCAATACAGGCACAATCCTGGCCCATTGCCCTTCAGGGCCGTGATATAGTGGCTATTGCGAAGACTGGGTCTGGCAAAACTCTGGGTTACTTGATGCCTGCCTTTATTCATCTACAACAGCGTCGCAAGAATCCTCAATTAGGCCCAACTATTTTGGTACTATCACCAACAAGAGAATTAGCCACACAGATACAAGCTGAAGCAGTGAAGTTTGGGAAATCGTCAAGGATATCTTGCACGGTATGATGTTTATGACTTGTGACTGTCATAGTTTTAGTTCTATTACTCCCTCATAGTTTTCTGAAGTCTCACAAAAAGTTAGGCAGTCTGACCCTTGTCTTCCGAATCATGTCACATAAGGTGGAGTGAAGGGAGTACTAGAACTTAATTATCATTTTGAAGTAGTAGTGCTTAGTCTGGCATCTATTTTATAATTAGAACATTTGCTATATGACTTTCGTTCTTGCAACACTCAAAAGCAACAATGCTTTTCAGAAGGCTTTGGTTCTGGAATATCCCCACCCTATAGAATGCTACGTCTGGCTAGAAATCTAAAACTCACAGGTTAAATATTGCATTCTCCGTATTGAGCTGTGAATCATGCATTTTCTAAATTTTTTTGCAGCTTATTCCAGCTGCATACTCACCTGCATATAGAATAGTTGAATAGTTGCTATTCAACGAATGCAGAGATGTCAATGTCAATTACTTACGTTTGTTGATGAGCTTGAAAAATTATGATCTTAATTTTGTTTGAAAACTAACTATGATTTATGTTCTGATGGTTAGTGTCTGTATGGAGGTGCACCAAAAGGTCCTCAACTACGGGAGCTTAGTAGGGGTGTAGATATTGTTGTCGCCACTCCTGGTCGTTTGAACGACATCTTGGAGATGAGAAGAGTTAGCCTTGGTCAAGTTTCTTACTTGGTGTTAGATGAAGCGGATCGTATGTTGGACATGGGATTTGAACCTCAGATAAGGAAGATTGTGAAGGAGGTGCCTGTGCAGAGGCAAACATTGATGTATACAGCTACATGGCCGAAGGGGGTTCGTAAGATTGCTGCTGATCTATTGGTTAATTCAGTTCAAGTTAATATTGGAAATGTTGACGAGCTTGTTGCAAACAAGTCTATCACGCAGGTGTGTTTCTTTATTATTTTCCTGGACAGTTTTCATTATTTAAGATCTTTAAGTACTTGGCTTCTCCTTATTGGGGAAGATGGCTGGGAGGTATGATAGTAGAATCTAACTGATCAAAAAAAAGGTATTGTAGTAGAATCTGTATTATATATGCCTAAGCATAAAAGCTAAACCTGGTGTGGTTACAATTAATTCAAGTAGTTGTCGCTTGCAGCACATTGAAGTCGTGCTGCCGATGGAGAAACAACGGCGAGTAGAACAAATCTTGAGATCCAAAGAACCAGGGTCAAAAATCATTATTTTCTGTTCAACAAAGAAAATGTGCGACCAACTATCTCGCAATCTTACTCGCAATTTTGGAGCAGCTGCAATTCATGGGGATAAATCTCAGGGTGAGAGGGATTATGTATTAAGCCAGTTTCGTGCAGGCAGGTCTCCTGTGCTTGTGGCTACTGATGTTGCTGCCCGGGGTTTGGACATCAAAGATATCAGGTTGGTGCCATTAAACATAATGTTTGATTATGCATTGCTCACGTGCTCCTCAATTCTGATGTCTAATTGGATAAGAAAGTGTTGGTTACGGTATTAGACGTTGGATTGACATATGCTGTCCATTTCTTTATGTAGTGGTGTTTTGACTGGCTGCGTTGTTCAGAGGAAAACAAGTACTTTTTCATGCATAAGCTAAATTTGTATAACATACCAAAGTACCCTTAATATCTAGTAGTATTCAATGTGCCATGTTAATTTCTATAAGAGTATGTTAAGGAAAAATTACAAATGTTAAAATGACTTTCCTTATAGAAAGGTGGCTGTCTTTTAGGGATCGACAAAAACAGTAATAGGTCCCTTTGGTGTGTCTTGGTGGTTTTTTTTTTCCCAAGATGGATGTGCTTGATAACGAAGTTGGTGGTGAATGCATTGCCATGATTTGGATGATTAAGTAGACAGATTAGAAGTTGGCATTTACATTCTGTCCTAGAAATTGAACTTGAGCCAAGTAGTCAAGTTTCTCTCTACAGTTCTGCCTCTTAGTGTGGGATGTGAATAATCAATAACTACTTTGGCCTTCCATAAGTACATACAGCTCCAACTTGGACCATGGTCTTGGACCAAGACCTAATAGTATATTGTGATGTAACCTACTCATTTGATGCGCAATAAGCATAATATGTTTATGCATCCATATGCATATTCGTTTTTTGAAAAGAACAAATGAGGGTTTTGGAGTAATGGCAGTTAATGAGATCATATTGTCACAGGGTGGTGATAAACTATGACTTCCCAACTGGAATAGAAGATTATGTTCACAGAATTGGTAGAACAGGCCGGGCAGGAGCATCTGGTCTGGCCTACACATTTTTCTCCGACCAGGATTCTAAGCATGCTTTAGATCTTGTTAAAGTTTTAGAAGGTGCAAATCAATGTGTGCCAACTGAGCTACGTGATATGGCTTCTCGCGGTGGTGGTATGGGAAGGGCTAGGAATCACTGGGGTTCTGGCCCAGGTGGACGTGGAGGACGTGGTGGACCCTATAATTCCAGCTATGTTGGACGGAATGGAGGACATGGTTATGACCGGGGATCACGTGACAGGTATTCAGCCATTCATAAGTTCCTCTGGATTTTCTTTTTCCCTTTTTTACTTGGTTTTGACTAGTTTCTAATCATGTAGTGACAGATATGGTCATGGTACCTACAATGCGGATGCTCCACGGAAGCGCAGTCGTAGCAGAAGCCCCAATATAGGTTCAGGATGGAGTGGTAAAAAGAGCCGATTTACTGATTGATTTGATCAGGTTCTTCTGTGTAATAGTGAGCCATTTGCTAATGGATCTCATTTGGTTAGAAGAGTAACAAGGCATGATCCGTTAGTAAGTATACTGGGCTTCAGAGTGAACTGTAGGTGTATTGTTTTTTATTATATCCATGATATTTGTCCAGTTGGCTCTAGTGCCTGCTGGCCGCCTCATTTGCTTTTCGGGATTAACTGAAAGAAAGAGGACCCTGTCTTCTGGTTAAACCATCAATAGTAGTACTTCATTCTGGCAATTTTTTCTGAGCTTGTTAGACTGTGTTCTTGAAAGAATCATGGTACCTCAAGTGTAGAAAAATGAAAATGTTACATGAGCGCACACAACAGTGGAAAAGTTTCAATGTATGTAAACGTAAACAGTGTTAATGTTGGTTTATAATTCTTATCGTGCATTACTCAAGTGCATGTGTAGAGGAGATTTTTGCAGGCAATTGTGTGGTTTCTCCTAGTTAAATTCTGTGTTTGGCACTTAATGCTGTTGTAGTTGTGAAGTTTGTTCTTTTCATGCATAGGCCATTGCTATGGTTATTAAAGTTTCTCAGGGTATGGGAAGTAAGAGGGGGTTATCTTTCCCATATGTGCTAAAATTGAGGTGAATGAAACTTCACCCTTTTCTGTAGGAGAATTTGAGCATCTTATCTGTGACGCAAGACATCTTAAACAAAATTTTGAGCCGGCTCTTGGGAGATCACAACTGCCTATACAAATATGACTTCCTTTAGGGATGTTGGTGTTTTCTTTGACGGGCAGAAGATAGTGACATGTCGTTGCTTATCCATGCATTTTTTTTATGAGGTTTCAAGAATTATATATCTATTCATTTGGCGTGTAAAGTCCTATAACTCGTATCAATCACTTCTAAATGATTATATGCATTCAAATGTGTGATTTAACATTCAATAAAGTGTGATAATCATGAAAGATTAAAGTTTAAATTCGCAAAAGTGATAAAAATCAAGTGCACATTTGCTAATCGAAGATAGTAATTACTCGATGGAATAGTGCAGTTGCGCAACAGTTGGCATGGACACTACCTTTATAGAAGCCAAAAAAGGTGGTGGCCATGTATTACTCATAATCAGTGACTCTTGTAAATGCTTACGTAAGCTAAATCTACTCCTAACAGTCCCACTTTCCAACATAAGAAAAAGTATTCTACCACATTAATTTAAGAGAAAATACACAAGATACGTCCCGTACTTGTCTCGATAAATTAGTTTCCTACTTAATCTCTACGGATGTTCCAGTACCACCCTATACTTGATTAAACTGATTTTTTTAAAACTTTTTTAGTCCCTCACCCAGGCGCGTTAAATGTTTTTATGTAATCATAAAATTTTTAAAAAAGAAAAAAATTAATTATCCGCTTTAATTACCCCCC